TTCAGACAGGTCAAATCTTCTAGTCCAGTCTAGACAATCGGGCACCTGCAGCTACGCTGGACCTCACTTCTGGAACTTCCATCTGGAACTAGAACAATTAAACAGTCCCTGTACAAGCAGTTGGGAAAGTTCTCATTGAAGGCCACAATGCCTCCAGCTCTCATATACTGTTACACTACACACACATATATATGGAGTAGGATAGTAACTGTTACACTACACACACACATATATGGAGTAGGATAGTAACTGTTACACTACACACACATATATATGGAGTAGAATAGTAACTGTTACACTACACACACATATATATGGAGTAGGATAGTAACTTGTTTTCACATTCTTTTAAGACATAGAATGGAAAAGTTTAGAGGAAAGTATCTTTATTCCTGATGTGAGAAATATTTCGTAAACGTAAGTTTCATGGAGACTTTCAAGCACCAGAGTTTACATCACAATAAGAAAAATATTCATCTGTGAATTATTCTGATTTCTTTACACTAGTACTCCTTTAAGGGGTTAACGTGCTTACACACAGTCACATTTTAAAAGGTACTCTTGTTTCAACCACATGGGTTCACATCATAAAGAATGAGAGTGAATTTACATGAGTGATTACAAGCGCATTTCACTGTTTGAAAATAAATGGGATTAAACATATCTCAATCAATGTAACTGGGTGCTGGGATAGATGTCATAATACCATAGTTAAATCATAAAAAACAATGGGCTTTCAATCTATCAAGTATTAACATAAAATATTCAACACTAAACCCAGTTTAAATCTGAATCCATACATGTGCTAAATCTTATAGTTTAGAAGTTAGGAAGGGTGAAATATAGTTATTAAAATTGTAAGGCCACCTTCAGTGGTACTGAAAATATATTCCTAGTAATGGCTAATTATATATACAACAATAATTATTACGAGCATGAGTCATACGCCTCTCCAATGCTTCTCCGACAATGCGAATATTAAATTCAGCCACAATGTCGTATCCACTTTTCAGGCTCTTAAACTAGTCTCAGAATTGTCTGGACTTAATCTAAATTAAAGCAAGACAATGATTTATCAAGCTAATATCACCATGAGGTCAAATCAACCTAGTAAGGATTATTTATAATCAATATACACTTGATTCCTTCATTAATCGTCTCAGCATGCTGGAAATCGGGACTGGCCGAGATTTCGCATGAGGACATAAATTTTTTAAATTAAATACTAGCTGTGCCCTGCCACATGTTGCTGTGGCCCCGAATGGTGAATTGGGAAAGAAAGAAAGTAGCTCTCAGCTAACAATGTCTGTCATAACCCTCACCCCCCTTCCCTTTCCCCTCCACCCAGTTATATCTCCCTCTTCGAATGATTGAAAAATCATCCCTGGCAAAAGTATTATAATAGAAATAGTAAAGAAATGAGAACTTAAAAGTAATCTTTTAAGCTCTCTCAGCTAAGAGTGTCTGGCATAACTACCCCCCCCCTCCCCCCCCCCCCCCAATAATACTTCCCTCTCCGAAGGAATAAAAAATCATCACTTGGCAGAATTATTAAAATAGAAATAGTTAAGAAATTATAACTGTTAAATAATGTTTTAAGCTCTCTCAGTTAACAGTGTCTGCCAACCCCCCCCCCCCCCCCCCCCCCCACTAATCATATCATCCTCGCCGAAGGATGGGAAAGTCATTATCTGACGAAATATTGTAACTAAATTTAGCTTTGCATCTGTGTCCACCCAGAGAAAAATAGATAGCATTAATGTGTACCGAGAAGCAAATGTGGCTAGTATAACAGCTGCCACAACACCCATCCAGTACCAGTACTACTGCTACCACTACCACCACCACCGTCAGAACAAAACAAAAAACAGTCACTACTGTCTGTGCAGGTCGGTGTAGCCAGAGGAGTAAGCATCGCATGTTGTCGCCACGGACTGTTTAGTGTAATTGAGCCTCCAAACAAAGAGAAAGAAAAAAAAAAACTCCATCACCTAACCAGTGATGGAACCTACAGTAATAGTCTGTTCTATACTCACAAATAGCGGAAATAAAATATCCCACCTGTCATCTCCCCTCTCCGAAGGGATGAATGTTAAATGACCTTGGCATCCGTGCCCACACAAAGTAAACTGGACTGTAAGCAGTCTTAGTTAACAGCTTTTGTCATCAACGATTTCCTCCAAAGTCGGAGTAAATCTGCCGGAGAGGTGGGGAACGAGAACTGCAAACATATAAGCCAGTAAAACGGATGTACACGCAAAACTCAGGTCAAGGTAAAAGCCAAAAGTCCATTTTGGACGAACAACCGCGACTTACCACCGGAATTCACAGCCGGTGAACAAAAAGAAGAAGAAGAAGTCATCAACGATTAGTTTATGATCGAGTGAAGCGTCACGGGGAGGATAAATGGGACTTTACTGCAATCGGATGTCTTTGGGCGAAAGGTGCAGATATTGCAGCCTAGCTGTAAACCACAAAATGCCAACAGCTCTCTTGACGAAAAAAGAAAAATTAGCAACCAGTGGGTAATCGAACACCGGTCAACCGCGTGAAGGTCGGAATACTTACAACTATACTACCTAAGACTGAAGAGTTTGGGTCTGATATCGCAGCCTAGCTGTAAACCACAACACAACAGGCCAACCGTCCTCTCAAGGGCGAACAAAGATTACCCGTGACATAACAAATATCACATCGCCGCTATCGCAGGCTAGCTGTAAACCCCCAAACCGAGTGGTAAAAAAGACGTAGATATTGCAGCCTAGCTGTAAACCATAACACAACATGCCAGCCTCTTAGTTAAGGGCAAAAAATGAAAATTAAATCACCCAGCGGGGCATTGATTGCCGGTCACCTGCGTAACACGCAAAATATACAGCTACGCTACCAAGAACTCAAGCATCTGCCCTATCTGAATGATTAAAACATTATTATGTGGCGACATTGTTAAAATAGAAATAGTTAAGAATTGAGAACTGTAAAATAATGTTTTAAGCTCTCTCAGTTAACAGTGTCTGGCATCAACACTCCCCTCCCCCCCCCCCCCTTTTTACCGTGACAATCATATCATCCTCTACAAAGTATGGGGCAGTCATTGCCTGTCGAAACATTGTTGGTAAATTGAGCTTGGTATCCGTGTCCACCCAGACAAAAATGGGCAGCGTTAATCTGTACTGAGAAGTACATGTAGCCAGTGTAACAGCTACCAAATCACCCATCGAGTACCAGTACTACTGCTACCACTACCACCACCACCATCACAACAACAACACAAAACGGTCACTACTGTCTGTATAGGTCGTTGTAGCTAGAGGAGTTGGCACCACATGCTGTCGCCACGGACTGTTTGTGTGTCCCCGACATAAAACTCCATCACCTAACCAGTGGTGGAACCCACAGTAATATTCCGTGATTTAAAAAAAAATTACACTAAACTCACAAATAGTGGAAATAAAAACCCGCACTCGTCATTTCTCCCTCTCTGAAGGGACGATATTCAACGTATAGTTTTTGATTGAGTGAAGCATTAGGGGAGGCTAATTTGGACTGTACTGAAATCGAATGTCTTTGGTCGCAACTTAGCTGTAAACCACAACACAACGTGCCAATCGCCCCTTAAGGGGAAAAAGAAAAAAAATTAGCACCCAGCGGGGAATTGAACACCGGTCATTGGCATGAAGGGTGGAATACTGACAACTCTACTACCGAAGACTGAAGACTTTAGGTCATATATCGCAGCCTTGCTGTAAACCACAACACAATGTGCCAACCGCCCTCTCAAGGGCGAATGAATATTACCCGTGACATGAACATTGAACATCACGTCGCCGCTATCACAGGCTAGCTGTAACCTCCAAAATTGAACGGAAAAAACGCGTAGATATTGCAGCCTAGCTATAAACCACAACAAAACGTGGCAGCCACCTAGTTAGGGGCGGAAAAAAAATTTATATCACCCAGCGGGGAATCGAACCCCTATCACCCGAGTAAAAAAGCGAAATGCTTACAACCAACTACGCTACTAAACACTCAAGCATTTAGTCGAAATGAAAGTATATAATAATAATGTGAAGTTCGGTGTTACACAGTCAAAGGTGGTCAATCGATTAAAAATAAATCCAGGCGGGCAACGAAACAAATAATGATTTGACCGTTGCTGTAGCTATGTCGTTCGTGGTTTTTGTGATTTTATGACAAAAATCACGCTTTGAGTCAGATGCAACGTTGTTTTTGTCAAATTTGAAAACAATCGGTTCAGTAGTTTCCGGGTTTTTAGCTAACAACATCAGAAAATTAACATTTTGATTAATATAGATAATTATAACAATCAAATACAACAATTTACTTTTCTAGTATCAAGTAAACATTATATAAATCATCAGATAGATCATATGTTTACGTACATGTACATACTAGATCATAAACATGGTTAGTTAGTAAGGACACAAAAATTCATTACGGTTTCTTCCACCATGTGGGCACTAAGTTCAACAGATGATAATAATTCAGAAGAATTAGCAGCAAGTAATCAAATTAAAATAATAGTACTATTCACTTACCCCTAGTAGAGAATTCAAACAGACAGACTACAGTACACTGACAACCAACTTTGGTATGTACTGAGTCAGTGAGCTCACAGAAATCTGTGCTACCTAACCCTGTGTCTAATTGAAAAAGGGAAGTAGGAAGTACTAAAAAGAGAAACTAACTCTAGGTGGATCCTCCCAAGTCTGCTTCAAATTTTTTCAATTTATTAATTAATAAATTAATAATATTGCTAAAATGAAGCAATAATTAATAGGTAAGAAATATAATAATATTGCTAATACAAAGCAATACTTAACAGGGAAGAAACAGCTGTCTAGACCAGCTCGTCACAGTGTGCCACATTGCACAAGTTTAAACAAAAAAATAACTCTGACAGAAAATGGAATATGAACTTTGCTTCTACAACCTCTCATTAATTGTATATTTTTATAATTTTTTGTTTGTTTTTGCAGCACTGCCTCACCTTCAGAGCGAGATCATTTCACATCAGCGCAAGAATTAGAATTCATGCGCAGAGACTTAAACCACAACAAGAAGGGAACATCTTGTGTCCAACCAGAATTTCACTACCAAAATAACACAATCCACTCAAAATTACCTGTGTCGACAGTTCAGACAAAGTTTTCCAGGAAGGGACATCACCCGCCTGTGGCCACAAACGGACACAGAAAGAAGATCAAAACAGAACAGCCTGTCATTGCAGAAAATGTGAATGTTTTGAGAGAGGATGACTACTACAGTCGGCCGCTGACATTAACACAGTTTGAGAGTCAGCCAGTGTTTCCGGATAACATTCGTGATACTCCTTTGAGCATGAAATTGGAGTTAACACCTGAAGGAGAGTCCACACATGCGGAAACAACATATCTACAACCACTGAGTCAAATCCCTCCACCTATCAGCACGCCCCACAGCCCTGCTTCAGTTCAGTACTTGAATACTTTGCCCAGCTCACCACGCAAAGATAGTCACCTCATCTTAGGTGTAGATGTGGGAATCGATCCTAGTTCTGGTATTCAAACAGAAGGGGAAGGAGCTCTACCACAGGTGTTAGAGACACCACAGAAAATCAAGGCAACCAAGCGTTCCAGTAAACATACCAAGAGGTCCAGACTTAAAGGTTTATTTGGCTACTTTTTTTTTTTAAAGATTTGTGCTGTTCTACTGTTTGTCTTCCTCCTCACCCTTATTCTCCTCCTCACCCTTCTCCTCCTCCTCCTCCTTATCCTCCTCACCCTTCTCCCTCTCCTCACCCTTCTCCTCCTCACCCTTCTCCTCCTCCTCATCCTTCTCCTCCTCACCCTTCTCCTCCTCCTCATCCTTCTCCTCCTCCTCACCCTTATTCTCCTCCTCACCCTTCTCCTCCCCCTCACCCTTCTCCTCCTCACCCTTCTCCTCCTCCTCATCCTTCTCCTCCTCACCCTTCTCCTCCTCCTCATCCTTCTCCTCCTCACCCTTCTCCTCCTCACCCTTCTCCTCCTCCTCATCCTTCTCCTCCTCCTCACCCCTCTCCTCCTCCTCACCCTTCTCCTCCTCCTCTTCCTCACCCTTCTCCTCCTCACCCTTCTCCTCCTCCTCACCCTTCTCCTCCTCCTCACCCTTCTCCTCCTCCTCACCCTTCTTCTCCTCCTCCTCACCCTTCTTCTCCTCCTCCTCACCCTTCTTCTCCTCCTCCTCAACCTTCTCCTCCTCCTCACCCTTCTCCTCCTCCTTCTCCTCACTCTTCTTCTCCTCCTCACCACTCTCCTCCTCCTCACCCTTCTTCTCCTCCTCCTCACCCTTCTTCTCCTTCTCCTCAACCTTCTCCTCCTCCTCACCCTTCTCCTCCTCCTTCTCCTCACTCTTCTTCTCCTCCTCACCACTCTCCTCCTCCTCACCCTTCTCCTCCTCCTCCTCACCCTTCTCCTCCTCACCCTTCTCCTCCTCCTCCTCCTCCTCACCCTTCTCCTCCTCACCCTTCTTCTTCTCCTCACCCTTCTCCTCCTCCTCACCCCTCTCCTCTTCCTCACCCCCTCCTCCTCCTCACCCTTCTCCTCCTCCCCCTCCTCACCCTTCTCCTCCTCCTCCTCCTCCTCACCCTTCTCCTCCTCCTCACCCTTCTTCTCCTCCTCCTCAACCTTCTCCTCCTCCTCAACCTTCTCCTCCTCCTCACCCTTCTCCTCCTCCTTCTCCTCCTCCTCCTCCTCCTCACCCTTCTTCTCCTCCTCCTCCTCCTCACCCTTCTCCTCCTCCTCCTCCTCCTCCTCCTCCTCACCCTTCTCCTCCTCCTCACCCTTCTTCTCCTCCTCCTCATCCTTCTCCTCCTCCTCACCCTTCTTCTCCTCCTCACCCTTCTTCTCCTCCTCCTCCTCCTCCTCATCCTTCTCCTCCTCCTCACCCTTCTTCTCCTCCTCCTCCTCCTCACCCTTCTCCTCCTCCTCCTCACCCTTCTCCTCCTCCTCACCCTTCTTCTCCTCCTCCTCAACCTTCTCCTCCTCCTCACCCTTCTCCTCCTCCTCACCCTTCTCCTCCTCCTTCTCCTCCTCCTCACCCCTCTCCTCCTCCTCCTCCTCCTCACCCTTCTCCTCCTCACCCTTCTCCCCCTCCTCACCCTTCTCCTCACCCTTCTCCCCCTCACCCTTCTCCCCCTCCTCACCCTTCTCACCCTTCTCCCCCTCCTCACCCTTTTCCCCCTCCTCACCCTTCTCCCCTCCTCCCCCTTCTCCTCCTCACCCTTCTCCTCCTCCTAATCCTTCTCCTCCTCCGCCTTCTGTTTTCTTCTCCTTTAAATATTCATGTACAGACCCTCAGCTGTTCATGACAAGTCCATATGTCATCTTGTTGAGAATTTTGTAAGTGAAGTCTACAGGATTAGGTAGCTAGTCTCATGACAAGTTCATATGTCATCTTGTTGAGAATTTTGTAAGTGAAGTTGTCTACAGGATGAGGTAGCTAGTCTCATGACAAGTTCATATGTCATCTTGTTGAGAATTTGTTGTAAGGGAAGTTGTCTACAGGATGAGGTAGCTAGTCTCATGACAAGTTCATATGTCGTCTTGTTGAGAATTTGTTGTAAGGGAAGTCTACAGGATGAGGTAGCTAGTCTCATAAGTTCATATGTCATCTTGTTGAGAATTTGTTGTAAGGGAAGTCTACAGGATGAGGTAGCTAGTCTCATGACAAGTTCATATGTCATCTTGTTGAGAATTTGTTGTAAGGGAAGTCTACAGGATGAGGTAGCTAGTCTCATAAGTTCATATGTCATCTTGTTGAGAATTTGTTGTAGGTGAAGTTGTCTACGGGATGAGTTAGCTAGTCTCATTACAAGTCCATATTTTCCTTTTTTCCATCATTTCAATAATCTCTTCTGTTTTATTTCCCAGGCCAGCGGTGTTAAGTGTTGCAATCTTGTATTTCGCTGTTCTGTCTCGTAGTCCCTTAACATAGCCATGGTCAGATACCATTTGATCAGTCCGTTTATATCTCATTGTGGTTTCTGTAGTGATAATAAATCCATTGCCGGCTTGCTAGGCCTGTCGCAACTTTACCAGAGCCCCGTTGGCCAGAACGTTTTGGGGTGACCCAGGGTGGCCTTTATGGCTACCGTAGCAGTCCCGTGGCACGAGGCCACACCATACTTCGCCCACACCTAGCAATCCCCTACTTTGTTCTGTTACCACCTCTCACGACGAGGACGTGGGGTTGGACTTTGAGAGGCAATCAGTAACCTAACTGTTACAATTTAGGAATGATCACTAACTCAATCATTACAATGTGGAATTGATCACTAACTCAATTATTGCAATGTGGAGTTGATTACTAATTTAATCGCTACAGTGTTAATGATCACTTAATTAATTGATTCAATGTAGGAATAATCAGTAATGGAGTCATAAAAATATAGAAGTAATTTCTAGTACCTGTGGGGCTCTCTTGACATTCAGCCACTACTTGGATTTAAAAACACACACACACACGCACATGCACATACACATATAAACAGAAAACAAGACGTTGGGGTAAAAAAAAAATTTACTGATTTTTCAGAATTGCCCATACTTGTGTCAGAATTACCCCCACTTGTGTCAGGATTACCCCCACTTGTGTCAGGATTACCCACACTTGTGTCACAATTGCCCACACTTGTGTCACAATTGCCCACACTTGTGTCAGAATTACCCACACTTGTGTCAGAATTGCCCACACTTGTGTCACAATTGCCCACACTTGTGTCAGAATTACCCACACTTGTGTCACAATTTCCCCCATTTGTGTCACAATTGCTCCCACTTGTATCAGAATTACCCACACTTGTGTCAGAATTGCCCATACTTGTGTCACAATTGCCCACACTTGTGTCAGAATTACCCACACTTGTGTCACAATTGCCCACACTTGTGTCACAATAGCCCATACTTGTGTCACAATTGCCCACACTTGTGTCAAAATTACCTACACTTGTGTCAGATTTGCCCACACTTGTGTCACAATTGCCCACACTTGTATCAGAATTACCCACACTTGTGTCAGAATTACCCCCCACTTGTGTCAGGATTACCCACACTTGTGTCACAATTGTCCACACTTGTGTCAGAATTACCCACACGTGTCAGAATTACCCACACTTGTGTCACAATTGCCCACACGTGTCAGAATTACCCACACTTGTGTCTCAATTTCCCCCATTTGTGTCACAATTGCTCCCACTTGTGTCAGAATTACCCACACTTGTGTCAGAATTGCCCATACTTGTGTCAGAATTGCCCATATTTGTGTCACAATTGCCCACACTTGTGTCACAATTGCCTACACTTGTGTCAGAATTACCCACACTTGTGTCAGAATTACCCACACTTGTGTCACAATAGCCCATACTTGTGTCAGAATTGCCCACACTTGTGTCAGAATTACCTACACTTGTGTCAGATTTGCCCACACTTGTGTCACAATTGCCCACACTTGTGTCACAATTGCCCATGCTTGTGTCACAATTGCCCATACTTGTGTCACAGTTGCCCATACTTGTGTCACAGTTGCCCACACTTGTGTCACAATTGCCCACACGTGTCACAATTGGGCACACTTGTGTCACAATTGCCTACACTTGTCACAATTGCTCACACTTGTGTCAGAATTGCCCATACTTGTGTCAGAATAACCCATACTTGTGTCAGAATTGCCCACACTTGTGTCAGAATTGCCCATACTTGTGTAAGAATTGCCCATACTTGTGTCAGAATTGCCCACACTTGTGTCACAATAGCCTACACTTGTGTCACAATTGCCCACACTTTGTCCACACTTGTGTCACAATTGCCCACACTTGTGTCACAATTTTCCACACTTGTGTCACAATTGCCCACACATGTGTCACAATTTTCCACACGTGTCACAATTGCCCACACTTGTGTCACTGTTTCCCACACTTGTGTCTCAGTCGCCCACACTTGTGTCACAATTGCCCACACTTGTGTCACAATCGCCCACACTTGTGTCACAATTGTCCACACTTGTGTCACAGTTGCCCATACTTGTGTCACAATTGCCCACACTTGTGTCACAATTGCCCACACTTGTGTCACAATTGCCCACACTTGTGTCACAGTTGCCCACACTTGTGTCACAATTACCCACATTTGTGTAAAAAAGCAAGTGAATGTTTTCTATCATATATAACAACATGTTTATAAATCACTTAATTTTTTACAAAAAAAATTCTGTATACCTTTGAGGTGGAATACTAAAATTTCAGAAAATATTTATGAATCAGAACCCATTTTGCCAACAAAGAAGCATTCAGGCATGACTTTCTGTTTGACCTGAGATTGGAAAGCAACAAGACCCTGTCTGAAATGGTCAGTATTTCTAGTTCTTTCTTTGAACCCTTTGGAGATGACGCAGTTGAAATGTCCGCCCGACACTAAAGTAGCCAAAAGGACAGTGCAGCTGATTGGTTGGCCCTATATAATACAAGCCTTGAGATTGGCTGGCAGGTTTTTGTACCAGCCAATCAGATTGCTTCTTGCATTTCTTGCACATGTGGGCTGTCATTGACGGATTTTGAGAACTTTTGATGTGTTCTGTAATTTTTCACTGGAGTTACATGTGCCCAACAGTGGCAAAAAGGACTCTTGCGTAATTGCACCCGAAACATAGCTAGAGGCAGAAAAATGAGTAGAACAATATGCCAAAAATGTCTGAAAAACCTCTAAGGACCTCAATTTCCAAAGCAAAAGTGCTAGGACTTTTTCAAGCTTCATCCATAACAAAATTCACCCACAATTTTTAGCTTAGTCATGCTTGTTCCCAAGTTTTAAAAAAAAAATGCTTGCAATAATTATGCAAATCAGTATACTTAATTTGAATAAATGTTAAGATTTCAGTTTGATTCATAAACATTTGGTTAGCTTATTCAATTTGCTACAGGAATATATCTAGTTTTGCATATGTTAATTGCGCATTATTTTTTATAATTTGTTGAGTATAAACTGTGAGAATCCCCTCCTGAAGGCTTCATCTTTTTGACACTGAAACTCCAAAAAGGCTCCATCTTCAGAGGGTTAATACCTTATACTGTCTCTCAGTTAAACCAATAAGCAGGGAAGGTTAAACATGCTGTCAGTTAAACCAATAAGCAGGGAAGGTTAAACATGCTGTCAGTTAAAATGCTAATAATCCTATAAGCCAAATATGAACAACCATTTGTTCTGTCTGTCTAGCTGTCCCCATAGGAACCGTGACTGTTAGTGCATGTTGATTAAATGAGAGTATTTTATCATCACTTGTAGGTTGTGAACAGTCAGCTGATGATACTGGTGGAAACAGTGTTGAATACCAGGGCAGGAAGAAGAGGCATCCATGTTTCTGTGGAGCAATGTTTACCAGGGCAGATAACCTCAAGCGGCACATCCGTAAATGTCATGAAGAGAAGTTAGAAAAGTTGAATCCAACACATTTGGATTTTGACACGGATAACAGCAGTGCACAGGCAATGGATTTCTCACAGTCAGATCAGACAAGGGTAGATGATCTACCGCAGACTCAAGATTCACAGGACTACTTGCAGCCTCCACAGCAGCATCAACCAGACCAACAGCAGCCAACACAGCAGCATCAACCAGACCATCAGCAGCCAACACAGCAGCATCAACCAGACCAACAGCAGCCAACACAGCAGCATCAGAAGGATGATATGGAAACGTCTGCCAGAGACCTGGAATGGTCCTGCTTTTGTGGAAAGAATTTTCATCACCACCAGGAGTTTGTGGAGCACACACAAACACACAGTGACACTTAAAGGCCACCTGGGTGACACCTAAAGACCACCTAGGTGACACTTAAAGACCACCTGGGTGACACCTAAAGACCACCTGGGTGACACTTAAAGGCCACCTAGGTGACACTTAAAGACCACCTGGGTGACACTTAAAGACCACCTGGGTGACACTTAAAGACCACCTGGGTGACACTTAAAGACCACCTGGGTGACACCTAAAGACTGCCTGGAACCAATTCTTTCTTGCCTTGGGAAAACTGAAATCAAACAAACCTGCTGTTTACTTATATTAATTTTATTAACTGTTTACAAATTGTCAGTCACAGTTGCAACAGTTAGTTTGTCTGTTGAGAGTTTATAATAGTTGAGAGGTGTTGTTATAGTTACAACAGTCGGTCTGTTTGTTAAGAACTTCTGTTTATTATAGTAACAACAGTCAGTCTGTTTATTGAGAACTCCTGTTTGTTATAATTACAAGAGTCAGTGAGGTTGTTGGTAACCGTTGTTTGTTATAATTACAAGAGTCAGTGAGGTTGTTGGTAACCCTTGTTTGTTATAGTTACATGAGTCACTGAGGTTGTTGATAACCGTTGATTGTTATAGTAACAACAGTCTGTTTATTGAGAACTGCTGTTTGTTATAGTTACAAGAGTCAGTGTGGTTGTTGATAACCGTTGATTTAGTTACAACAGTCAGTCTGTTTGTTGGGAAGTGCTGTTTATTATAGTAACAACAGTCAGTCAGATTGTTGAGAACTGCTGTTTGTCATAGTTAAAAGCTTCAGATTGTTGACAACTGTTGTTTGTTATAGTTACAACAGTCAGTCAGATTGTTGACAACTGTTGTTTGTTATAGTTACAACAGTCAGTCAGATTGTTGACAACTGTTGTTTGTTATAGTTACAACAGTCAGTCAGATTGTTGACAACTGTTGTTTGTTATAGCGAACACAATCAGTCAGATTGTTGAGAAATGTTTGTTATAGTAAACAGAATCAGTCAGATTGTTGAGAAATGTTTGTTATAGTAAACACAATCAGTCAGATTGTTGACAACTGTTGTTTGTTATAGTAAACACATTCAGTCAGATTGTTGACAACTGTTGTTTTAGTGTTCACAGTAATGTTGTTGAAAAGAGCTGTTTGTAGAAGTATGTTGACTGCAGATGTTTCAGTGACAGCCAAGAGATAAATGGATATGTTGAGTAGGAAATGAAGAAACAACATTGAAATCATTTAATTGTTGGGGATAAGTCTTTTCTAACATTTGTAGTCAAATACTATATGCTAATTTCCCAGCCTGCCTCTCAATAAAGAGATCTTTTACTGCCACCTGTTCCCTGAAACTGACATGCTCACTCATCATGTCAAATCTTCCAGTCCTTTAGCAATCTGAGCTCACTTCAAATCTTCCAGTCCTTTAGCAATCTGAGCTCACTTCAAATCTTCCAGTCCTTTAGTAATTCCCTCAGACGATTCTTCTTCTTCTTCTTTCGTTCGCATGAAATAAATTGTCTATATCTGCAAAGCTGTCTCTAGTATGAATTTCACTGTCTTTTGTAATTCACTAAGCGGCCCGTAAAGTTTGACTTCCACAAGTGTCTCTTTTGGCCAAAGGTTTTGCCTGAAAGCGTTGAATCTGGGACAGTCTTGAAGGATGTGATCTGTTGTTTCAGGTGCCAGTCCACAAGTACACATGGCTGATTGGCCAATCTTAAATTTGTTGTACATGTGGGAGCGAAGTCGATTGTGCCCTGTTCTAAGGCGAAGGATAAAAACTTGCTCTGGTCTGTCCATAATATGGTAATCATCTTGTGCCAGTTTTGGTGGCATTCTGATTGATTTGATCATTCTCTTCTTCTGTTGATAAGAGACTGGTATGTTAGGTTGTTCTTCAGTTGCACCTTCCTTAGCTAGTTTATCAGCTTTTTCGTTTCCGGGAACTCCACATTGGGAAGGTATCCACTGCATTACTAATTTACAGCGGTTGCCTAGTTCGGATAATAGTGTCCGTATGCTTGGTAATTTTCCAGACTGGAGTGACTGAAGTACTGCTTTTGCATCTGTCAGGAATACCACTGGTTGTGAAAAATACCCTGTATTTAGTAGTTTCTCTACCGCTATCTTGATGGCTTGAACTTCTGCATCATAGTTGTGACAGTGCTTTCCCGTTGGTAATTGGGCTGTATCCCCGGTATTATTAGGATACTCAATGTACACTCCCGCATCTTCGTTTCTGACTGCGCTTTCTGCTGACCCATCTGTGTAAACACGGACCCAAAGGTTCTGCGGGTATTCATCATCAAGTAGACTGAGGGTGGCTGTTTTGCGCTGCACACTGTTTTGTTCTTCCTTGTCAAATACCCCTTTCACTTCAGTCTTGATATGTATTGGGAACTTATACTCCTCTCTCCAGGGGGTCCGTTCTGGGACAGCATTTAAGGATCTATCAGTTGCAGGTAAATCAGTGATTTGTCTGCCGAGCCGTTTGGCCTGGTGGATAAAACTACTTCTCTTTAGTCGTCCCAAAGCTAAATTTTGGAATCTTTCATTCATAGGGTGACTGGGCATACTAAGAAACTTTTCTGATTGTAAAAGCATCTTGTTGTCTCTGCGTTCACTCAGTGCTTGGGTCATCCCCATTTTCTCCATCACAGCTATAGGTGTTGATTTCATACTGCCTGTGGTAACTCTGAGTGCTTGATTTTGCACTTTGTCTAATTCTTGCGATGTGGTTTTTGATGCCGAGCTCCATGCTGTTGATCCGTATTCAAGATGTGGTCGAACACTTTGTTGGTAAACTTTTCTAAGTATTTTCCCGCTAGCACCCCATGTGGTTCCACTTAGTTTTCTCAGAATGGCTACCCTCCTTCTGGCTTTGGTTGCTGCCTTGTTGATGTGTTTTCTCCATGTTAATCTATCATCAAATGTTACGCCGAGGTATGTGGGCTCCTTATCCTCTCTCAGGGGTACTGCATTTATATGCATGACACCTGATTTTTGTTTAGGAGAAAGGGTAAAGAGGATGTGTGCTGCATTTGCCTATGTTGATGCTGACACACCATTTGTTGGCCCAATCAGCCATTGCATCTATGGCTCTTTGTAGCAGCCTGGTGGCCACTGTCGCATTTTCATTTGTACACCAGAGTACCAAGTCATCAGCATACATTGCAGCTTTAATTCCATGGGGTAGTTCAGAAAGCAGGTCGTTGATATAGACTAGGAAGAGTGTGGGGGACAGAACACCTCCTTGTGGGACGCCATGGCGCAGCAAAACTTTCTTACTCTTAAGTCCATCTATCTGTACTCGGGATCTTCTGTTATACAAGTATGCTTTCACCCATTTGTACATTCTCCCGTTCACCCTGCAGTCTCTCAGTTTCTTCAGTAGACCTTCTTTCCAGACCTTGTCAAAGGCTTTCTTCAGATCTATCCATGCCGTTAGCACTAGCTTCTTTTCCTGGAAGGCATCCTCAATTTCTTGTGAAAGGTAAGTTGTCTGGTCTTCTGTGGAGTAGCACTGTCTAAATCCTGCCTGCTGCGGCGTGAAAATGTTTTCACTTTCCAAGTACCATTGGAGTCTAAGGTTGACAATACGTTCCATTGTTTTACAGAGGCAGCTGGTAAGACTGATCGGTCTATAGCTGGAGGCATCAGAACTGTCCTTTCCTGGTTTAAGCAGAGGTATTGTGATTGCTTCTCTCCATATTTGAGGAACTTTGCCACTTGTCCAACAATGATTAAAGATCTGTAGCAGCTTTTTTTTTGGCAGTTGTTCCAAGGTTCTTGATCATTTTGTTGGTGATACCATCAATTCCAGGTGATTTTCCCATTCTCAGCTTTGATATTGCTAACTCTAACTCGCTGGATGTAAATGCTGCCACCAGTGCCTCAGGAATTATATCTTTTTGTCTTATATGTTGTTTGTTTTCTTGAACCTCTCACTGTTTCTCTGGGCTGACATTAATGTTGCTGTCTTCTGCAAAGGAATCTGCAAAGTGGTCAGCTGCCTGTTTTCTTGTTAGGATGGCTCCCTCTTTGCATAGTGCAATATTACCATTTCTTCCTGTATTCTCATCATTAATTTGCTTAATTAATCTCCACAACTTCCTTGTGTCTCTTTCAAAGTTTAGAGACTTTGTCTTTTCTTGCCAGCTTGCCCGTCTAGCCTGCAGTTTGGCTCTTTGAAATTTGGCCTTTGAGTGTTGGTAGTTGTTAAACTGCTCTTGACAAGGTCTGGTCTCAGCTTGTTTTCTTTCTGTCCTCAGACCATTGAATTTCTTTATTCCATATGAGTAATTTCCTCAGACCATTGAATTTCTGTATTCCATATGAGTAATTTCCTCAGACCATTGAATTTCTGTATTCCAAATGAGTAATTTCCTCAGACCATTGAATGTCTTTATTCCATCTGAGTAATTTCCTCAGACCATTGAATTTCTGTATTCCAAATGAGTAATCCCCTCAGATCATTGAATGTCTTTATTCCACATGAGTAATTCCCTCAGACCATTGAATGTCTTTATTCCACATGAGTAATTCCCTCAGACCATTGAATTTCTTCTCTACATAACATCTGATTAATTATTGATTATTTTTGGTTTATTAGTGATCAGTTTTGTGATCTCCAGATGTATTTGTCAAACAGTTGGCCTGACACTGTTGATGTTTTTGTTGTTGACTGGGTTGTTTACTTTGAGGTATTGTGGAGAGCCCTGGCAGCCGCTCCCACATGTCTGGAGTGCCATGCTCTGTGTGATGCTCTTGGACAGAGATTGAGGTATCTGCAGTCAAACTGTGCATGTTTTCTGGTAATTGTTTTAGTCATTTTCCTTGTTTGACTGCATTCAGCACTAGTGGTGTGATGCTGATTCCATATTTCTACTAGCAGGTCTCATTTCTGTTGTCGTCCACAGATTTCCTAGTTCAGTGATAGCTCCTGCCTTTTGTATTCTTATTATCATATCCCTGTTTGCTCTGCCTTGTCTTCACGAATGCCTTAATATGTGTGCGACTGCAAATCT